CGAGGTGCTGTCACGCTATTTTGTGTTTGTTTATTCTATTAAAGTTTTCTTTGAATGTTCGCCGGTTCCGCCTCTTCTTCCCGACCTACAAACGGTTGTTATATTGGTGCCGAAACCCGGGAGGAAGGAGGGACACGCTGCCAGAGATCCCTCGCCGCTGTGGTGAATCCGCGGTGCCATCGAGCATGGCGGAGCAGTCTGCCGCCATGGAGGCTCGGACGACAGTTTTGGACGAGAGAGGACCAGGCCTGGACTTTAGTCGTCCGCGAGGGGCTGTCGCGCTATTTTGTGTTTGTTTATTTTATTAAAGTTTTCTTTGAATGTTCGCCGGTTCCGCCTCCTTCTTCCCGACCTACGAACGGTTGTTACAATAACCCTTTATTATTTTGCTTACTCCACAGCTGTTCTCTCTTGAGGTACATTCTGAGCCGTGTAGATGCAGTTTCATTTATTGTTTTATTTTAGCCAGTATTTTTGTTTCTAAATGGGGTCCAAAAGGCATTTCTGAGATCACTTGTATTTTGTAATATTCTAACTTAATCCAAAATGTTAATACAACTTTGTGCAAAATAATTCGAGAACGTTTCAATAGCGTCTTGTGACTTTCAATGGAAGGAAGGAAATAACAGCTTTTATCCAAAGAAGTTTAAACTGGCCTATTTGATTGACGACCGAGAAATAGTGCAGAATAAATATGTAATATCCAGACCCTTTTTATTTCAGACTGTCTCATTGTATATTGGTCATTGCGTTAAATTCTACCAAATGACATAATTTGCTGAAATTGTTGTGGTGCTGTGTTAAGCATCTGAATAATTCTAAGTAGTGTTAAACAAGTAATCTTTAAAGTGCTTAAAATAACTGTAACAGGATTAGTGTGCCATTACAAAATGAACAGTGTTTAAAATCAAGACCATTTAATCTGTAATTACAACCGAAGATACAATTCAAACAGCAGCTATTCAAATATCTATTCAGTTCAGAACATTTGCTCTTCTCTAAAGCAATTGCATTTTGAGGACAAGTGGTTATTATTTGAATATTTCATGTATCTGTTGAGAGAAAGAGAGATTTGAATGTAAAATATACAAGTTTGACCATGTGGACCGTATTTGTTGATCCTTTCTGATGACAAAAAATACAAATCTCCTGTTGCAATCAATGAAAGGACGCCCAAATCTAATGACAGAAAGATGCTTAAAATGCACACTTCACATCACATCAAATGCTCATTTCCCCCCTGGAGGAAAAACATTGGCTGAGATGAGGCGAAAGACCATGAGGCTTCTGAACTCTAATCACAACAAACAGGAAGTAGTGGCAGTCTAGAGCACCTCTTCTGGTATTAAGAGCTAAACAATACTCGCCGACATCAAACGTTCACGATTCATGAATATTTTGAAACTCCTTTCTAAACTCCTCCTAAATCGGCCTTGAAATGCACAAAACAAACACACGCATACACCGTCCAGCGTCTTGCATTCAACTTCTCCCTCTCTGTCTTTCATGTCTTACCGCAGATGACCTTCAGCAATGAACAAGGCGATGCAAATGACCTGTTAGGAATTAGCGAGAGTGCACAAACATACTAGAGCTGCACAGTTAATCCAATAAAGAATTAAGAATACGGCTGCTGTGAAATGTATTCATCTTTTAAAACTCATTTTTAATATATATTCTTTTATTTTCATAATGATAAGTTATTCGAGTACAAAATGTGTTTTTAAAATAAAGTTTGTTTGCATGTGTTTTTTTATTATTCTTAAATTAAATCGGCTTTGTATTGGTCTCCCTGTTCTTAGAGATTGGCCATTAAAAAGCCACTTTAGACAACATATAACCAATTACAGAAATATTTATTGTGCACATGAATGCAGTTTCATTTATAATAATCCAGAGATAACAGTGAGATTGTGAGCAGTCATGTGAAACATTTTCACTATACAGGGTTCCAGAGTTAAATAAAGCTATTGATGTTATTATAAGCTTATATTTGCCTGTAAGGCTCCAGGTTGATTGTGATTAAAACGCTTTTGCAATTATGTTAAACTGACCTTTTAGTCACTATACCTTGAATGTCTGATGTATAAAATATCAGGAAAATAATTCAGAAATCTTTTTGGATGTGTAGCCTACATAAAGAATCTGACATGCTCCTTCACATAAAATAAGTATTTTAATGTACACTAAATTCTAATCGAATTTAATAATTCAATGTGATCTCAAGAGTATTCGTGTATGTATAATATGCAGTTATACCACATGTACTTTTACTTATGTTTGCCTAGACACTAAAACATACATTATTCACATACTGACATAATCTAAAATGCATATGAACAACTTTACAGACATACATGTTTACGAACCCTCTCTATGAATAATCTATGAATATTTAATTAATGGAATTAACTGGTTGATTCTATTTATGATCAACTGTATTTATTTATGTATTTATGATCAATCAGATTTATTTAACACAGTTAAACATTTTATTCTATTCTGTGACTTCTAGTGCTAGCTCGTTTAAAAAAAATTACATTTATTTTGAACAAGAATAATGTGAAACTTTAAAATGAATGACCTTTTTCATTACTTATCATTTAACACACTTCTGAATATACCGTGACTCAAAAAAAGCATAAAATACCACAAATGCACCATAAAATGACTTATCTATCTATCTATATGATCGATTTTATTTTTGCACTGTAATCCAAATCTTCAGAATCTGTTTGATTGTCGACCTGAATTCATGTCGTTATTCAATCATCATCATCACCAGGTTTAGAGGTAGCAGAAAAATGAGTGACTCAAAAATAAAGTAACAAATTGTTACTGTTCATTTTTCTGCCTGTTTCATTTTTTATTTTTTTGAAAAGTGGTCATGTTTAGTTTTAGGATTAGAGTTAAGGAATCTAAACTATAAATAAATTCATCATATAAAGGATTTGTGAATATTTCTATATATTATATATATTTTAATTTTTGTTGTTTCCAGTGTGTCCACATTGCACACATCTATGGAAGCCCGTTTCCGCCACTGAATACAAAATAAAAAAAGGAATTTGCGACTTTTTATCTAGTAATTCTGACTTTTTTTTCTCAAAACTGTGATATATAAACTCGCGTTGCGAGTTATAAAGTTCAGTTCTGAGGAGAAAAAAAGACTGATATGTTCTCAGAATTGCGAGTTTATATCTCACAATTCTGACTTAATAACTCGCAATAGAGAGTTTATATCACACAATTCTGACTTGATTTCTCATTGCGAGTTTGTATCAGCCAATTGTGAGATAAAAAGTCGAAATTACCTTTTTTAATTTTTTTATTCATTGGCGGAAACAGGCTTCCATACACATCAGCATACCCAAACATACAAAAATTTTTATTTTTGTACCTGTAAATGTTTTGTACAAGTACCTACATATAAACAATGAGACCAGGCTGGAAACTCAGGATTCTCAGATGGCATCTGATCGTGATTATAACGCTTATATAGTGTTTATAATGTGAAGGTGACCTTTTTGAGTTTCTGATGTATAAAACAGAAATAGTCCTCAGCTTTTTGGATATATAGCCTACATAAAGAATCTGACATGCA